AGGGACAGGAGGTCGGGAGGGGTGGCGGAGTGGGAAGACTGTTATAGAGAAGATGGGAAGCAAAGGAAGGATCCACTGGCTTGCTACAGCCTTAGGTTGCCTTATTTGAGAAAGCCTTGTTGTCTGTTTGTGATTGGCTGTCCTTGGGTTTTCATTTTTTAACCTTGAGGCATAGCCAGCTTAGGTTTTAGTTTGCTTACTGGGCTCCTGAGGCATTAAAGACAACTTAAGCCAATGGCTTCCTTGTTTTATTAATTTAAGGTGACTGATGATAATCTTCCATGTTGGCCTAGTGGTTAAGACTCTGAGCTTCCGTTGCAGCGGGCATGGGTTCAATCCCTGGCTAGGGAACTAAGATCCCATGGGCTATGTGGCACAGCCAAAATAAATAAAAATATAATATCAATTGTTAGAAATTGTTTCTGTAATTAGCAACTCTAAACTATATTAGATGGGAAAAGTAGATCATGGGATAAATTATCAGAATTCTCCAAACTATCCGGGAGTACTTTTTTTTTTTTTAATGTAAAAACAATGGGACTTCCCTGGTGGTCCAGAGGTTAAGAATTTGCCTGCCAATGCTGGAAACACAGGTTCAACTCTCTGATCCTTGAAGATTCCTGCACAGCAACTAAGTCCATGTGCCACTACTACTGAACCCATGTGCGGCAAGTACTGAAGCCCGAGGCATTACTAGAAGCACCGAATCTCTATTGCCCATGATCTGCAACAACAGAAGCCGCCACAAGGAGAAGCCCACTTATTGCAAGTAGAGACAAGCCTGTGTACAGCAACAAAGACCCAGCACAGTCAAAAATAAATATAATATTAAAAAAAATTTTAATGAAAATGCTGTATATTAAAACACAGTATTTAAATACTATTCTCAGTAAAAGGAAACAGGGGTCCCTGATGCATGGGTGTAACTGAAACGAACTTGGGTGGCCTTCTCCACTGTCCAGCAAAGCCAGTTTACTGACACCAGGTTGTGGTGCTTCTAGAACCCGTGTTTCCAGCATTGGCAGGCAAATTCTTAACCTCTGGACCACCAGGGAAGGAAAGCACAGTGTTTGTTTGCAGGGTACCTTGTGCTGATTAGACCTGAACTCCCTGATGCTTTTCAGAGAAGGGTTTTTAAAGGCAATGCTTAGGATGAGGGTTGCAGGGGGCATGTCTTCCTTCTGATTGGTTAGTGGTGAGATAATAGGGTGCTCTTTCAGGAACCTTTATCATCAACCTTCTGGTTCCAACTGCGTGCTTGCCTTCAGCTTGTAGACACCATCCTCCACCTGGGCAGGGGGGTGGGGAGTGTTAGTTCTGTCTACCACAAACTGGCACTTGCCATGGATGCTTGCCATCTGCCTCTACAAGGATTAAATCATGTGCTACTGCAGCTGCTGACCTTCAACACTCTTTGAAGGAATTCAGGGTGGAGAGCAGAAATAAGGCACTCTGTGCTCTGGGAAACTGGCAGGACAGGTCTTCAGATATTCTCAGCAACTGATTTTACGAACCCAATTCTTGTATCTCCTCATATCTAGAAAAGCACTAAAATCCTTCATGGTGATGACTGTTCCTCGTAATCAGCAGAAGCTTCACAAGACCAGCAGAAACTTTCTACTAAAAAATTTGTGCTTGATTGCATGTACACAAAAATCACATCTCTACTGTCCTTTCCCCCGACCTCTTTGGAAGAGTTTCTCAGAGCTATCTGAGGGGCTTTCTCCCGGGCCGCAGTGCTCATTTTGCCCCAAATAAAACTTAACTCACAGCTCTCACACTGTGCATTTTTTTTAAGTCGACAGTTCCCACCAAAGAACATAAAGATGTGTGTTAGATTCTTATGTATGTCCCTTGAGGAGGAATCAGGACTCTGTTTTATTGCTCAACTATTGTCATGGCTTCTCTTGTTCAGCTTCTTTTCCTTAGTTTTTGCATTCTCTCACTTCCCTAGTGAGTAACAGGTTGAGTCTGCTCTTTGGAACTCAGGAAGCCTAAGACACTAAAGATTCTCTCCACAAGAAATGAGGGAGGGCTTCTGTACCTGGGAAGGCCCACAGGGCCATGCTTGGTTTCAGTCCTGCCTTTTCTTTGATACTTCTCAATCCTGAGGGGAGTAGGTGCTGAACAAGAAAGGTAATAAAGTTTTGGATAGAAAGGTTAATCATAAACTCAGCATGGGAACTTGGTTTTAGAAGGAAAAGTAAAAAACTAATGGGACCTTTTAGGGACTTCCCTGATGGTCCAGTGGCTAAGACTCTACTCTTCCTATGCAGGCGACCTTGGTTCAACCCCTGGTGAGGGAACTAGATCTCATATGCCACAACTAAGAGTTCAAGTGCTGCAACTAAAGATCCCAGATGTCAGAACTAAGACCCAGCACAGCAAAATAAATAATATTAAAAGAAAAAAAAAAAGGCACCTTCTAAAAGAGGCTTCTACTGGCTAAACTGGAATAGTTTGCTGCTGCAGCTAAGTTGCTTCAGTCGTGTCCGACTCTATGCGACCCCATAGACGGCAGCCCACCAGGCTCCTCCGTCCATGGGATTTCCCAGGCAAGAGTACTGGAGTGGGGTGCCATTATCTTCTCTGAAATTGGAATAGTTTGAGCAGCTAAAAAACAGTGATGGCCACAGATTAAATCAAATTGAATTCAAACAGAATCTAGGCGTCCAGGACCCTCCAACAAAAAGTGGTAGTGGGACAGCCTTTTATTTACAGAAGAATCCCAGCTCTGAAATATAAAAGGAGTGATTGATTTAAAAATCATCATCACTTCAACAATTTAATGACTGACTCAAACAGGTATAAACAAAGAATGCTAAAACCACAGGTGAAAACTGCTGGGAAACAGAAGATTTACACGATATCCAAGGATCACTACCCCAGACTGTTTAACTGCAAAGAGGAAATGGAGATATAGTATCTGATACCCCTTAGCCAGATGGTCAAACATGACGTTCTGATGTGAGGACCAACTAAGTTACACACCTGCCAATAGGGTGTGCTAAGAAGGACACAATGATGCTCAGGCCTAAGTAATTAACATGAATTTTATTCAGATACATGTAAACAGTCTAGCCTGTTGTTTTAAATGTATCTTAAAAGGAAAACAAAAAACAAAAAAGGCAGTAAACAGAGATTAAAGGAGACTAAAGCCACATGACAATTAATAGACAATCCTAGACTGGATCCTGGATTAAAAAAAAAGAAGGGACTTGTCTGGTGGTCCGGTGGTTAGGATTCCATGCTTCCACTGCAGGGGGTGTGGGTTTGATCCTTGGCCAGGAAACTAAGATGCTGCATGATGTGGCCAAAAAGAAAGAAAAAATATGAACAGTGTTTTGGGATAATGGGGGGAATTTGATTTTTGGCTGTAAATGACATCAGAATATGCATCCCAAATGCGCTGTTTTGGCATATGGGTTATTTTGAGCTAATGGGAGATGCATGTAAAGCTCTTTAAAAAATAAAAAGAAAGGAGCAAGAGTTTTCATTTTGAAAAGGAAACAGAAATTCCATTTGTGAGGATGTTTTGCTCCCCAGCATGAGAAAGAGGAAGTCTCTTCTAATTGTTATCCAAGGAGAAGGCACTTAACTTAAATCCGCATAGTAAACCACACAAAACAATCCAAATTTACCACACTGTTCCTGGTCACCTTCTCATAACTTGCCTCCCCTGCCCAAAAGTCGAAAGCCCTTTTCCTTTGTTTAGCCTGAGGTAATACACAAAACCAAGTTCTCAACATGTCTTTGGATTATTCATGGCTGGGTGCTGCCATGTGTATATGCCTGATACATGTTAATAAACTTGTTTGTTTTTCTCTTGTTGCTCTGTCTTTGGCCAATCTAATTACAGGCCAGTCTCCCCCAGCTGGAGAACCTAAGATGTGTAGTGGAAAAGATTTTTTTCCCTCCCCTATTGTTCAGATGCTCAGTCATGTCTCTCTGCAACCCCATGGACTGCAGCATGCCAGGCTTCCCTGTCCCTCACCATCTCCCAGAGCTTGCTCAGACTCACATCCTTTGAGTTGGTGATGCCATCCAACCAGCTAGTCCTCTGTTGTCCCCTTCTCCTACTGCCTTCAATCGTTCCCAGCATCAGGGTCTTTTCCAATTAGTCAGTCAGCTCTTCTCATCAGGTGGCCAAAGAGCTAACTCATAGCTCTTATTTTCAATATTTTGATAATAAGTGAATATTAGATAATATAGCAATGCCAGATTTCCTGAATATGATCGTGGTATTGTGGCTATGTAAAAAAAGTTTCTTGCTTAGGAGTTAGTGATTAAGTAGTTAGGAATACAGTGTAATGGTGTCTGCAAGTCACTTTCAAATGATTCAGAGAAAATGATTCAGAGGGAGGGCAATAGAAAGGAAGTAAAAGTGGCCAAATGTTAGGGATTTGTGAAGTTCTTTGTGCTGTTCTTTTGACGTTTCTGTAGATTTTTCCAAATAAAAAGTTTGGGGAAAACTGCATTAACAAAACTCCAATAAAAGGGTCCTTACCATCCTTTTGTTTATTTGTGTTTTTGCTTGTTATTATCTAGTCTCGTAGGAGCCTGTATTCAGGCTCATTACATATTTCCTAGTACTTTAAACATTAGTTATTTTGGACCACATGAGACAGATAACTAATACAGTTAGATTTTTCCTACCTGAAGATCATCTTTTCAGTAAAATGTATTGGAAAAGGAATCATCTAAGTGCCATGCTTTAAACAGATGGCGCTAGTGGTATAGAATCCACCTGCCAATGCAGGAGGCCCAGGAGATGTGGGTTCGATATATGCATGTATATTGAAGGGCTTCCCAGATGGCTCACTAGTAAAGAATCCGCCTGCGAATGCAGATTAGGGTTTGATCCCCAGGTTGGGAAGATCCCCTGGCGAAGGAAATGGCAACCCACGACAGCAGTCTTGCCTGGAAAATCCCATGGAGAGAGGCGCCTGGTGGGCTACATGGAGTCCATGGGATCACAAGAGTGGACTTGACTTAGTGACTAAACAACAATGAAAAAGTAAAAATTTAATGAAAACTATAAAATGATAATGTAAGTTCCCTTGTGAATTATTCCTACCCTTAGTTCCACTTTCCAGAAATATATAATAAGATGTTCTGTGTTTGTTTTTCTGTTACAAATTAGCACTTTAAATTCTGTCGCTGTGTTAAGGCTTTATACTTTGCCTCTCACATCCCCTTCCCTCTTCAGCTCTCAGCATTTTAAACTATGGTAATCCTCTGCACAATCGGTATCTAAATACTTACATACGACTCTATAATCCCCAGGGCCTCTGTGGGCTGAGTGGGCTCTGCTGGGTGGGTCTTCCTCTCTAGGAGAGAAGTGGGCTGAGCTGAGTTATCCAACGGCAGGTGATGCTCCTGCAGGCTGCTGGCTGCAGCACCTTCGCTCGGCCTTTCCCAGCAGCCTGTGCTTCTCAAAGAGTGGCCACTGGGTCCTGAAAGGCAGTTGGGTTCCAAGAATTTCCGGGGGAAGAACTCAAAAGTCACCAGTCCTCTCAGAGGTGAGACTCGAACTGGCATGACATCATTCCTTTTTGTTGACTCTGAGCTAAGAGCTTCCCTGGAGCTTCCAGAGAAAAATCTCAAAAATCTCCTCCATCTGACATTCTGGGCTGTGGAATTAACCCTTCTCCTGTCCCTGCAAACTCTTCCACCGTCTTCCATGATGACTTCAAACTGTGGGCCACGCTCTTCCGTTGCTTTTTGGTACTCTTGCCATTTGATTGTCTTTTTGACTCTTTTTCAATTTTATCCATGGGACCTGGGGAGCAGGGAAGAGGGGCATATCTTTTAGGTCAACCATCTTCAAGCAGCTCCAAATCTTTTGTTTTTAACATGTTCCTGATGCAAAGAACTGACTCATTTGAAAAGACCCTGATGTTGGGAAAGACTGAAGGCGGGAGGAGAAGGGGACGGCAGAGGATGAGATTGTTGCATGGCATCACTGACTCAAGAGACAGGAGTTGGAGTAAGCTCCAGGAGTTGGTGATGGACAGGGAGGCCTGGTGTGCTGCAATTCCTGGGGTTGCAAAGAGTTGGACACAACTGAGTGACTGAACTGAACTGAGGTTTTTAAAAATCTATTACTGTCAAATTATTATTATTTTTCGTTGTGTAAAATGATAAAAATACTTTTCTGGAGCCAAAGTAATCACATTATCAAAAGTAAATCGTGTGTCCTAAGTCACTTCAGCTGTGTCCCAGTCTTTGTGGCCCTATGGGCCATGGCTCACTAGATTCCTCTGTCCATGGGATTCTCCAGGCAAGAATACTGGAGTGGGTTGCCATGCCTTCCTCCAGGGAACTTCCTGACCCAGGGATCAAACCTGCATCTCTTATGTCTCCTGCATTGGCAGGCAGGTTCTTTACCACTATTGCCACCTGGGAAGCTCTTCAAAAGCAATAGGAATTATGGTGATAATGACTCACTTTGTTTAGCAGAAGACAATGTTTATGGCTAATTTATCACTATCACAACTTCTCCACTTATAGTTTCTAAATGTGATTCTTCTTTCAGACACCAGGTTATTCCTTCAAGTAGATTTTTCAGGAAGATGTCATTAATGCTAAAATCACAAGGTTCTTAAATATTTAAGAATATATTTCTCAGGCCTTTTACATTTGAAAGATATCTTGGCTATTGAAAGAACTGTGTCATATCCTTTCTTCTCAACGTTGCAGCATTACCTTTTCCGTGTTGTGGATAGAAGTTTAAGACCTGCCTGATATATATTATTTTCCTTTAAAGGTGACAAGTCTCATTTGCCTAGATGCTTGTAAAATTTTTCTCATCCTTGAAATTCATTTACTTTGTCAGGATATGTCTTAATCTTGGTAGAACTCATCACTTTTTTCTCTAAGAAAATTACTGTATTTTTTAAAAATTCTTTTCAAAAATTGTTTTGTGGCACTGTGGCATGTGGGATCTTAGATCCCCAATCAGGGACTGAACCCATGCCTCTTGCAGTGGAAGCTCAGAGTCTTACCAGCGAAGTCCCCTAATCTTTTTTTTTTTTTTTGATGAGCTCTTTGAACCTGAAGATTCAGAGCTTTTCTTTCCAGAAAATTGTCCCTTTATTAGTTCCTTTCTTTTCCCTGAATATTCTCTTCTCTATGATCACCTTTTATGTACGTATTTGCACTCCCTTATTTCTTTTCACATCTATAACTCAGATGTTAGCTAAGGCCTCTTAGCCCTTTAAGATCTAGTCCCCAGCCAATTCCAGGAACTATGAGACCAAAGGCCTCACAATAGCTATCAAGCAAACCCTGTGTCTCTGTTTCTCTCCATATGCTCAGAGATGTGAAACAATGAGCATACAAAACCAGCATACCTTGTTTAAAAAAACTGATTTTCCCAAGAAATCAACTGATATCAACAGTGATTTCTAGTTGAATTTACTTAAGACTTGAAAAGATATGGAGAAGGGTTGAATCACAGGGGGCTGGACGGCAGGAGGGCCATGGGGGTGTCGCCCGTCATCTCCTTTCTTCTCTCTCTACACCTCCTCCCTCTTCTGCTCCTCATTCTGTCCATCCTGACGGCTGCCCCAGGACCAAATTCTTCCCCTGTCTTTTTGCACAGTAACTCCCCCCTTTCCCAAAAACCCTCTCACCAACTTACCAAGCCTGGGGCTGGAAGTGTGTTGGGATGGGGACATTATCGTTCATTTTCTACACTTACAGTCTGTTCAGCCGAACAAAGGCCTTAGTCACAGGTGCATTCACGTGTTCAAATGATGTCACCAAGATCATGTTTCCCACTCTGCCTCTCAGGTTATGTTTGTCTCTGCTTTTTTTTCTTTTTTGTATGTGGCCCAATTCTCTTCTTATACAACTATGCTCATTGTATATGGCAGGAAATATGGCTACTGGTAGCGCTAGTCCTATGGATAACCCTCAAACTCATGGTATAAAAATGAGACACTCTCTCTTTCCCTATATTCTATGTATCAGATCTCTTGGAAAGAAATATGATTGGACTTGCTTGGGGCAGGACCCAGTTAGGCTGTGGAGACTTGGCTGGGGTGTCATGATTGGATAGTGTGGACGGTGTACCCAGCCCAGCAGCCAGTCCCTTGGGAATCCTCTGGGCTCACAAGATGATTCCCCTGTGTAAAGATGAGTGTTGTTTTGAGGAGAGAAAAAACAAAAAATGACAGATGTCCTCCACACCTCATACCCTTTGGTACGGAAATGTGCCCTGACAAATGTAGACAATGAAGAGCAAATGAGAATAAGAAAGTGGGAAAATGTGCAGAAAAATGGCCTCACCAATTCCACCCTTTCAAAGTGAAGTTGTTGCCCGCGGTGGTTCCACACAGCTGGCTCAGAGAGTTAGACGGAGGTTGAGTCATAACAAGGCACTTCTGTTGGTGAAAATGCTGCAGCAACTATCAACAGGTGTCTGAGTGCTGCTAGAATCGAAGAAAAGTCCTGCTCTGGAGCTATTTCAGTTCAGTTGCTCAGTCATATCCGACTCTTTGCAACCCCATGGACTGCAGCACGCCAGGCTTCTCTGTCTATCACCAACTCTGGGAGCTTGCTCAAGCTCATGTCCATCAAGTTGGTGATGCCATCCAACCATCTTACCCTCTGACATCCCCTTCTCCTCCTGCCTACAATATTTCCCAGCATCAGGGTCTTTTCCAGTGAGTCAGTTCTGGAGCTATTTATTGAAAACAATTCACATTTATTGAGCATTAAGATTTGTCAGGCACTGGGCTAGTAAAGTCATGCTCAAAATTCTCCAAGCCAGGCTTCAGCAATATGTGAACCGTGAACTTCCAGATGTTCAAGCTGAATTTAGAAAAGGCAGAGGAACCAGAGATCAAATTGCCAGTATCCGCTGGATCATTGAAAAAGCAAGAGAGTTCCAGAAAAACATCTATTTCTGCTTTATTGACTATGCCAAAGCCTTTGACTGTGTGCATCACAATAAACTGTGGAAAATTCTGAAAGAGATGNAAGAATTGATGCTTTTGAACTGTGGTGTTGGAGAAGACTCTTGAGAGTCCCTTGGACTGCAAGGAGATCCAACCAGTCCATCCTAAAGGAGATCAGTCCTGGGTGTTCATTGGAAGGGCTGATGCTGAAGCTGAAACTCCAATACTTTGGCCACCTCATGTGAAAAATTGACTCACTGGAAAAGACCCTGATGCTGGGAAGGATTGGGGGCAGGAGGAGAAGAGGATGACAGAGGATGAGATGGCTGGATGGCATTACCGACTCGATGGACAAGAGTTTGAGTAAACTCTGGGAGTTGGTGACAGACAGGGAGGCCTGGCATGCTGCGATTCATGGGGTCACAAAGAATCGGACACAACTGAGTGACTGAACTGAACCGGGCTAAGTACTGAGTATAAACATGGGTGATCAAACAGACTATGTCTTAAGATCTTAAAATCTAGCTTTTGTGTCATATAAATCTTTACTTCCTTCATTTGTAAGTGAAGATTTTAGATGATTTTACTGTATCGATTTCCTTTGTTTAAAAAATACTTTTAGGGGGACTTCCCTGGTGGTCCAGTGGTTAAGAATCTGCCTTCCAATGCAGGGGACACAAGTTGGATCCCTGGTCGGGGAACTAAGATCCCACATGCCCGGGGGCAACGAAACCTGAATATGCCACAACTACTGAGTCCGTTTGCCACAAAGAAACATCCTGAGTGCTGCAGCTAAGACCAGATGTAGCCAAATAAATTTAAAAATTGTTTAAAAAAAAAAATTAGGGAATTCCCTGGTGATCCAGCGGCTAAGACTCCAAGCCCCCTATTAATACAGGGGATCTGAGCTCAATCACCTGGTCAGGGAACTAGATCCCACATGCCATAACTAAGACCCAATGCAGCCAAATAAATAAATAAATTTTAAAAAGAAAAAAGGAAAACCCTCTGTCCTCCCACATTAGCCAAAAGTAGGTCATAACCTTTTAAAGGTGTCCCCCTTCCTTGTAGAAGGAAGGATAGAAATGAATCACCAGGGATGACTCTAGACCCTGTCAGCCTGGAGGTGGCACTAGAGGAATCCACACGACAAACTAACTGCCAACTAGTCCTTTGTTGTTTAGTCACTAAGTCGTGTCTGATTCTTTTGCGACCCATGGACTATAACCCACCAGGCTCCTCTCTCCAAGGGACCTCTCAGGCAATAATACTGGAGTGGTTGCCATTTCCTTCTCCAGGGGATCTTCCCGACCCAGGGATTGAACCTGCATCTCTGCACTGGCAGGGGATTCTTTACCACTAGCCACCAGGGAAACCCCTTGTCCTTTTCACTTTCCCCATATATTTGCCTCCCCGCAAGTCCCCTAGAAGCTCAGTTGTTTCCCTTTGTCTTGTCGCTTTTCTACAAAATTATCAATCTTTTGTTATGATGCTATATAAGCCCAAGTTCCAACCACCAGCTTTGAGTTACTCATTAGTGGGTTATCCCCCATATATGTATGGTGCACGCATTAAAAAGCTTCTGTTTGTCTCCTGTTCATGTCTTGTTGGTGTGGTTTGCAGGCCCCAAGATGGATAGAAGAAAACATTTCTTTTCTTCCCTTCCAGGTGACACGCCTGAATGGCATGCTTTTACTGATGTATTAACAAATATGACCTTATTGAATTTTTGTCAAAGTTGTTGGCATGGAGTTGCCCAGAGTTATCCCACACAGATGAGAGGGGTAGCCAAGATCTGAATTAGATGCAGTATTGAAAAATAACACCCTAAATGTAAAAAAAACAAAAAGAATGGTTAAGCAACTGTAATACATAG